ATCAGAGCATAAGTTCTACAACCAGCTGGGACTCCAGTGTGTCGAGAAAAGAAATGATCGCGGACCTACTGTTAGTAGGAACAAGGGAACGTTTCAGCGCAGGAACAATGTAATAGTTTTTGGAGAGCCAGAAGCGGAGGAACTGAGAGTAAGATAACCGCGATAAGATACAGTTTAAGAATATTTGTGCAGAGGTTCTAAAGATGCCATCAACCCCTCAACAGAGATGTGAGGAGGCTGGAAACAAAAGCAGGGGATAAGCCTCGCCCCCTCAGGATCACTAGTGAGTGGGAGGAGAAATGGGAGGTTATTCGGCAGGCAAACTTAGCAGGCGAGGCAGGCAGGAGTGCATTCACATTCACCAGATCGCCTTGTTAATGCAGAGGAACAGCAAACAGGGAGGTTGAAGAGACGAGGAGACGGGTGTACATGGGTTATGTTAGGAAGAGGGTGAGTGGAAACTAAATGTGCCAACACAGGGCCAGAGAGCAACCTTTTACCCCTCCACCGCTTTACCCCCACCCGGGAGGTGGCACCAGCTCCGCCTAACAGCGGGAGGGCGCCCGATGAGGCCTAATCACACCCTGCAAAATCTGATTATGCGGTGCAGAACTTTTTTCAATAAACTGTTAATTATTATTATTGGCCCATTATTATTTACAGTATTATTAAATCACTTCAGCTTCTGAGAATGGGGGGTGTGGGAAGTTTACTAGGAGCAAGACGTTACCGGGCGATTCTGGCTTGAATGTGTATGCACTAATACTGACCGTTTTCTTACGATAAGAGAGAGGAGTTTGGAACACTACTGAAGGTACACCAACCAGATATTGTAGGGCTGTAGAACTTTGTTGTACAGAACAGGAGAATCGACAGAGGAATGTGAGTTCAGTATTGCTGGATATGACTCATTTTGCAGACCTTTCTCAAGAAACTTGCAAGAGGGTGTGGTTATCTCTGTACAGAAACCAAGACCTTAAGAGCCAGCCAGGTGAGGGGTACCAGAGGAGAGGATGTTTTTGAAGAGTCCAAGTGATTGTAGAGAAATTAAATTAAAGGGAAGAGACTTACTTAGCAAATAAGATTGTATCTACGAATCTTAAACTGTAGCTTATTAACCAAAAGGAACTTAGAGCCTTAATAGACAATGCAGCGATGCTCCAGCTAGCCACACTCCTTATCATGGGGGACTTTAACTATAGCGACATTGACTGGAGAAAACGAGTTCACTAAATGACTTGAATAACCCCTGCTACTCTTTGTAGAAACTGAGAGACAATTTTCTGTTCCAACATGTTAGAGACCCGACACATTACAGAACCATACCCAAGCCACTAGACTCATCCGCAACAAACGAGGAGGTATGGTGTGCAAACTAGAACTACCTTGCCCCAGTTGGCACCAGTCACCATACAGTGTTGTCATTCCAGATTTAACTGTTACCAGGTTCAGATAAGATAGGCCAAAAAGGTCTGCAAATATTACAAAGGGAATTACAAATGGGATGAAGGAAGAGAGATGAGGTATCCACTGGCCTCCTCATTAGGGGCTTCCAGAAGCATGAACAACTGAATATCATAACTAGTAAAGTGACCCAATTGATCGATAAATATATACTGGGAGTGACCAATTGCCTCTAGGAATACGAGGGGATCTACACATGAGCCAAGGTGGCGGTCGACAACAAAGTTAAGAAGAAAACCCAGAAATTCAAAGACGTGGGTTACAGGTCAAAAGATGTGTGGGACATTGAGATGTATGCAAGAGCCAGAAACCAAGCAAAGGAAATTATTAGAAGAGTGAAGAGTTCAGAGGCTGGTTGCGGCAGTCAAGTCAAACCAAAGTTTTGCCGCTATGCAAAGTCGAGTAAAACGCGAGTAGGAGTATCAGACCTGAGGCTTTGAAGATGGTAGTTGCAGATTTCTGACCAGATGGCTGAGGTGATGAACAGCTTCTTTTCTCGGTGTTCCAAGAGAGATAAATTAACGCTTCCTGCGTTTGAGGATGAGCGGTTCGACACAGCGCGGCACACATTGTGTTCACAGAAGAGGTGTTAGAAATAAACTGTCAAGGCTAAGGTCCATAAGAGTCCCCGGCGGCCTGACATGGTGCATCCTAGGTGCTAGAGAGTTGTTACTGCTTAACCACCCGAGCCTAAGCCCTGTTTTGTAATGCCTGGATGAACGAAAGGTCTGATGGCTTATGTGAGTCTATCTTCCGAGGGCGATCGTCACTCCGCGAACAACTATGAACCCGGTGAGCCTGACCAGCATAATATGTAAAGTCCTTGAGAGTATTATCAGAGATGCAGCGATGGAACATCTACAAAAAACAACCTTGGAGATTTGCTAACTCGGTTTATGTCGGGCGGCTCCTGCTTAACACAATTGCTCAACTTATTGGATATTTGGACCCATATTCTGGAACAGGGTAGTATATCGACAATATTTACCTAGATTTGCCAAGGCTTTACGACAGTGTACTTACGAAGGCTGAAAATCGAGCTGGAAGGGTACGGAATTCAGGGAAATGTCCTTGCATGGATAGAAGACTTTCACATGACCGCAAGGAGTGTGTGGTGATTAATATCACGAAATCATCATGTTAACTGTCACAGAGTGGTGGGGTACCACAGGGCAGTGTGGGCCCGCTGTTGTTTGTTTGTTTCACCAAATGACATGCCTGACGTACTCCTCTATACAAATGTTTGCCGATGATTCCAAGTTATTTCCCGGGAAATCAAGAATAGCGGACTGTGAAGTTGCAGAAGGATCTCTGAAACTCAAAAATGGTCGAAATGGCTGCCGAGATTCAATGTCATGGGAGGTGTAGAGACGCACCTGGGGCGTACCAACGGTAGGAGGCGTATCTATGTCCCAACTGGATGAAGAAGGTAAATCGGGAAATGCATTGTTGGGTCTTATATAAGAAGGTCGTTCCAGATATCTGAACGGTCTGTCCCTCGTAACGATCTTCAAATTGAAGTGCTTCCCCCATCTAGTACTGTCTGCCTGTCACGGTCCCCGAGATATCCTTGGGACTGTCAGTTGGTTGAAAATGTTCAAGGAGGGCCGCTAGACTGGTGCGCCTGCACTTCGGCACCTCAACTACCTGAGAGATTGGGTAGCCACAGACTGCCTATTATACCCTGTACTACAGGCGGGCAAGGGGCGTCCTAATTGAGTGTATAAGCATCTCAGGGGCACTACTCAGTCGAGTGTCACTTACTTGGGCTGGCGGACGCTCGCCCTACAAGGGTCACAGCTCAAAGATTGAAGAAGCAGCAAGTCAGAAAACTGTGAGGGGCAAACTTTTTCGGAGTGAGAGTTGTGAGCTCTGGAACAATCTGCAAGAAAGTGTTGTGGCGGCACCGAGTGTGAAAAGAGCTCTTTCAGGAACAAGACTTGACCCACACTGGAGCAGGTTCAGGTACATTCAGGAGCCAGTGCATGCCCAGTACTTGCCAACAGTGCATAACAGGGAACGTGACCAAATCACTTAAAAGCGGCCTAATAGGCCGATCAGTAGTGAAGAAGGATAAAGTAAAAAGATTATTTCACCTAAAGATTAATACCATCCTAATGTTATTTTGGGATGAGGTTAGGAAAGTGTTAGAGGTTATTCTTTAGGTGAGTAAGCTGAGTTGAATTCTTTATGCTATCGTCATATCTAAAAGCACTAAGGAGATGAGCTCTTGTGAGAGGGAGAATGAGAGGCACAGAATAATCACAAGGGAAGGAGACAGAGATCAGCCCTTAGAATACAGCTTAGAGATGGGTGTGAGGGTATGAAGGACCAGTGTGTGAACCCCTGTGTTTAACTCGCCATCAAACAACCTGAGGATAACCTAGTCTTATATATTTAAGTAGTGACACCTGATTTGTTGTATACTTTATGGTATGTTAATTATCTACCACCACCGCTGTACACATAGAATTGAACCAAAAGAAATCACAAGGGCTTGAATACTGTAATTAAAGATGCAGTGTCTCAAGCGCAGATAATTTTTGTACGATTTTATACATAAATATATGTTTGTCACTTCGAAGTTAAATATCACAAAGTATAATATAAATTAGTTTCATTACTTAGATATAAGACTGTTCTCTGATGGACCCACACAGCAAGAGGCAGACAGGTGACAGTGAGAGCCCGTAGCTGGAACTTTAAAAGCCTCTGGCAGGTTTGTATTGACTGGCGTGTGGGAACTAGATAACAACATAAGAAGGGAGGAAACTGCAGCGGGCCTATTGGTCCATATTGGGCAGTGCCGTTTACACCCAACCCCTATCACTCATATATCCGCCCAGCCTATATTTGAAGCTACCCAGATATAGTTAGATAGATAAAGATGCCTGTATTCATTTATTTACTCGTTAAAAGAAATATTGTCTTGCTCTCGCTCCAGGCAGATGAGTGTGGTCACCAGGTTACTGCCAGCAACACGTAATGGGATACAATTACTGAGGCTGGGTGTGTTGTCGCCTGTGATCAGGGGTGGTGGTGAGGCCACGTTATGGCCACACTCCAGCAGGGTGGCCTCTCTGACTTTGACCTTCATCAACATCAACAGCCGAGGGATGGCCTCTAAGGTTAGGAGGCCGGTCTGTACTCATTCTCAGCCAAGTGCATTGTGTATTTATTGCTGATATAATATATTACTGCGTATTCTGATTGAGTATTAACATATCAAGACTAAAATTTTGAAAAATATAACCCAGATAGATATTAATCAGTAAATTCGTCATACAAGTTCACAATGGTTCATCATATACAGAGGCAGTATAGGTTACACAAACAATAATAAATGTTCAACATTAAGTCAGCCAAGGACAGCCCTAGAATTCCCACTGGTTTCCCCCAAATAAAGAATTATCTATACATTAAACATTGGGCATTACGTTAAGCTTCCGATATAGTCAAGGGCCAGAACTTGCTAACAGTGCTTTAACAGAGACGTAGCCGACCGCCCAAGCGGCTAACGAGCCGATCAGTGGCGAAGAGGATAAAAGTAAAAAAGGAAGTATTTATTGTATATTTAGGGAATTCAAATGATAAGTAGTTGTTGGTGAATGTAGTTTCGTCCAGTACTGTACATTTTGTGATTGTAGGATGCTAATATTAACATGTTGTTGTAGATATGATTGGGGAAATTTTGGAGTGAAGTAAATTTACCGTCGAAGTCACAAACAAGTTAACGCTTTCGGAGAAGGGGGCGGGGTTAGCATCAGACCGAACGGTCCACACCAACGCAGTGACAAGTGGTGTTGACAACAATGCTGTCAACAGTTGTGAGAATAAAAGATCACAACAAGTTGGGATTTGAGAACATTAATTTGGACAACATTTCTGCCCCAAAATAATATTTCCTATTGATGAGCTGTAAATCTTAAGGAATGTTGCAATCATTGATGGCAACATGTTGGTAACAGTGGTGTTGTCTCCCTGCAGTTGGCAACATTTCACCAGTTGACTCACACTAACAGAACAAGGGAGATGTTCTCTGTCTCCAAGCTTCATTAATTTGATTATTGTGTGCATTTAGCTGTAATTACGTAATGGAATGGATGAAAGAAAATGTCCTTCTCTTAATAGAGCTTTATCGCTCCCACCCAATATTATGGGACCCAAAGAACATTAACTATAAAGACAAAATAAAGAAGAATGAAGCGTGGAGGGAAATAGCAGCTATAATGAAAGTGGAGAGGGTAGAAGTTGAAAAGAAGACGAAAATCGTGGTGGCCCAGTTTCAGAGAGAAATGAGAAAGACCCTGGAAAAGAAACCTGATGGAACAGAGGGAAATTATACATCAAAATGGTTCGCCTTCAGAAGTTTGTTTTTCTTATTGAACAACAAGGAAACACCTCATCGTAGTTGTGAAGCTGAAATACAGGTATGTAATAAAAATAATTTGTATTTGTTATATTAATGCTTTAGTTATATCTTACAGAAATATGTACAAGGAAACTTACACTTTGTTTACTTAGCTGTATTTATCCTCACTACTGTACTGTACTTTATACTTGCATATAAATCATTATTTAAACTTGGATGCAGTGTTCAGTGTTTTTACTTTCTGAGTTAGATAAATATGATTATTATATTTATATTTAAGAACATATAAATTTCAGGAATATTGGAAATAGTATTAGAAATAATTGTAATAAAATCTCGGATGTTAGTATTTATTTGCATATTCCTACTTTTTTATTTATTTTTTTTTCCTTACAGTTTGAGGCTTATGAAACACCCGTAGAATATAAAAATACACACGTAATAGAAGAGGATTGGAATCACAAAGAACAACTCAGAGAACAGCCGTCACCCCACTCTGTAGTCAGTGTTTGTGAGAAAGATGCTGAGAATTACGTCTATACCTCCACCACTGAAACGAAATTCGGGAAACAAAACTTAAAAAGGAGACGGGATTCGATGACTGAGGAGGCTTATCAGGTTATGAAGCCAATGCAACAGCGGTGTAGAGAAAAGGATGAATTTCAAATCTTCGGAGAACTCATTGCCTGCAAACTTAGAAAACTTAGTACACAATATGCGAGGTCTACAGTTGAACATCACATTAATAACATTATTTACCAAGCTGAATTGGGGCATTATGATAACCCTCCTGAATATCCAACCCAGCAGGTATATCGTTCACAAACGCTTCATTACAAACTTCTAACATTTCCATTTACGTTGACAGTTTAACGTTAAAGGTAGTGTTAATGTTATTTTGATGCCGCTTTTGGGTGTGTTATATATATATGCAGTGGCATTTAATTTAGCCATTAAAGATTTCATAGTTAAATTCCTTCGTCAGTAGGTTTACCCAAACGTATACTTAACTTGTTGGTTAAACTGAGACTCTACCTTGATATTCAATTCCTATCGTAAAAAGAAATGTTCGAATTCACGCGGTTATAGAATCCAGCCCAGCCTAATCGACCAACTTGGACCTGGAAGGGAGGACATGACCCCCTCCCCCACCCCCAAGATCCTCTGGAGTGTGTCGCAACCTTCTCGTGTGACTTTAAATTTTTAACTAAATCAAATTACTACTTTTTCCTTATATTTATGATCTTTGGTGTTTTGATTGATTTTTTTTTTTTTACATAAGGGTGAAGGCGAGAAAGAAGATAGATAAATCAATGGTTTTGGACGAAAGGGTGACTGGATGAATATGGAGGGACGGCAAGAGGTTCAATGTTAGAAAATACCACGAATGGAACTTTGGTGAGAATTAGCTTTTTCAGGAGCAATTATCCAATCTAATGCTTTCTAACCTAATCAAAAAATACTTAAGGGTAATAAATTTGTGTAAAATTGGTAAAGTTTGTTGTGTATCAAAAACGATAGATTCGTAGTGGTGTTAACATTGGGGGTTTTATGAGTGGTGGCCTCTGGTAATTCATGGGAAGTGGGGGGTTGGTGGGTGTTCCAGTCTAGTCTAATCCAGTCGACCTGTTGCTACCGGGGAGTGACTAGGAGGTTAGAAGACTATCTGTGGTAGTTTTTCTCTTCACCTTATCATATATCTCTCAATTGTCAACTATGGTGAGTTATAATGACCTTGTTAACTATGCAGTATTAGTTTAGTGAATCAGTCTGTAGTGGTTCAATTTGTTATGTAGGTATTAGGAATATTTATGACATATTAATACCCAGTTGATTTGTTTGATTTACTTTTAATGGGTGTCAGTAATTACCGTGTTAGTAATTGTTGTTAGTTATTGTTGTATTAAGCATTATTTTCTTCTCATATACTGCACTTTATAAGTAACACGTCTACATTTATATATATATATATATATATGTTTCGTGTTGTCCGTAACAGTAATTACCTTATATTTTAACTGTTAATCATTGGGTGGTGTTAAATTGGCAAATCTTAAGCCTTCCTGGAATCAATAATACCAGAGTACTAAATTTTAATAATGGCAGAAAAAACATTGTCATGGTCTAACCTTGGTTGGGTATGTACTGTAAACGTTCACTGTCTATGTACATTGTATACCTACACTGTACATTGTATACCTACATTACTATACAATGTATACCTTCACTATGTATACTGTGTGTATACCTACTCTGTATATTATTCTAACTACACTCAGCATTATATACGTACACTACCACTTATAAACCATTGAGAACTTGTAAGATAGTTTTAGTGAATATATAATGTATAAGCAGTAACCAGTCCCAGTGGGTAGCCTTGAAGAGGGAGTCCAGGCTGGCGGGAGTATTACAGATCGACCAGTCTTATTTTCACTTTACTCTCTACCTAAGAAAATAAGGTTAAGTATTATAGTCTGAGTAATTTACACCAAGTTGAAATATTAACCTTGTGTGTATGGAATTACATTACTGTACTTTTATATCCCAAATGTATAATACAGTACACTACAGTATATATGTTGTATATCCCAGAGCTGTAGAGTATATCCCAGTTCTGTAGAGTATATCCCAGTTCTGTAGAGTATATCCCAGTTCTGTAGAGTATATCCCAGTTCTGTAGAGTATATCTCAGTTCTGTAGAGTATATCCCAGTTCTGTAGAGTATATCCCAGTTCTGTAGAGTATATCCCAGTTCTGTAGAGTATATCCCAGTTCTGTAGAGTATATCCCAGTTCTGTAGAGTATATCCCAGTTCTGTAGAGTATATAGTATATCCCAGTCCCAGTTCTGTAGAGTACCTGTATATCCCAGTTCTGTAGAGTATATCCCAGTTCTGTAGAGTATATCTCAGTGCTGTAGAGTATATCCCAGTTCTGTAGAGTATATCCCAGTTCTGTAGAGTATATCCCAGTTCTGTAGAGTATATCCCAGTTCTGTAGAGTATATCCCAGTTCTGTAGAGTACCTGTATATCCCAGTTCTGTACAGTATATCCCAGTTCTGTAGAGTATGTCCCAGTTCTGTAGAGTACCTGTATATCCCAGTTCTGTAGAGTATATCCCAGTTCTGTAGAGTATATCTCAGTTCTGTACAGTATAACCTATTTTTTGGATATGTTGGTGTTACAGTAGAAATGTAAATACCTCTCAATACTGTGTCCTGGGTTCAAGTCTTGACCCTGTACAGAGGTGAGAAGGGTGTTAGCCACTGTGACACTACCAAACATGGCAGGTTTTCTCTGGCTATTACAGTCTCCTCTTGTACTAACACTGGATATTAAAGGTCGTAACGAAGAACAGACCAACAACCTGATGAAATATGTTACAGGTTACAGTATTATGTAATTTGCCTGCCATATGATCAATTTTGTTCCGTATTTTTGATGATATTCGCTGCCCTCATTGTTAAGTTTGTAGTATGAAGGACCCACAGTGGAAATACAGTTGGGCTATCCTTGTTTAAAATCAACTTACTAGTCTTTACCATTGGCTCCATACTAGGACATACTAGTGGGAACATATTTTTAACACTTTTACTGAATGAATATCTAACTGTCTGTGTATCAACTCCACACCACCAGGCTCAGAAACTCACAGCTGGAGAACGGGAAACGAAACTGAAACCTTTGCTGGATGACAACTGGACGATGGTAGATGGTCGTGATGCTATGAAGAAAACGTTCCTTTTTAAAGATTTCAATGAGGTGGGTTATAGTACTTAATGCCCTCTGAGGATTGGCTGGTTGACACGAGTATTCAGGAGGGACTTTTATGGCCTTTTTTGGCTGCCATCTATGTAACGCGTGAGCTGTGTCATTCCGTTTTGTCTCCTTTATGTATTGCTTCAACTTGATCTCTTGGCTGTTTTCCCTCTGACCCAACACCTAAGATCATACATTTTACAGGTATACTATGTTGAAGGAATGGAAAGCAACATTTGGGGCAGCAATACTGTGTGATGGTTTTCATAATGTGTAAAGTATGAGAAATGGTGCAGTGGGACAAGTCTTCGTACAATTCGCAGCAGTATACCACATTTTATCCTCTTCATCACTGATCAGCTCATTAGCCACTTGGGCATTCGGACGTGTCTCTGTTATGCACTGATGGCAAGTACTGGACATGTACTGGCTCCTGACTGTATCTGTATCTGCTCCAGAGTTGGCCAAGTCTGGTCTTGAAAGAGCTTGTACTCGGTGCTGTCACAACACTAGGGCAGATTATTCCGGGGGTTTACAAGTTTTACTCTGAAAAAGTTTGTCCACACAGTTTTTTTTTTTAATAATTTTGTGCTTATTGTACATTTTACCTATCTCTCATATATACAGTACCAAATACAGTATATTAATTCCTGCTGTTTCCTTTCTTTCATTGTGATAAAATTCTTACATTAAATATTGTGTACAGCATTGAGACTTGAAGCTTGAGACAATAGACCACTATAGTCTTAATCCCCCTTCAGTTCACTACTGTTATATGCTGTTTAAGTACATGATGAATGACTAGGTGTACTGTATTAAAACCACATCTTTCAGAACCATAATAAAATGTCAATGAATACCAGATATGTATATTTCTCAGATGTGTAGAGTACAGTATATATGCAGTTGGTTCAATTCCTCTTACTGTGGTCAATGGTGCAGTATATACAGTACAGTTACACCAAGTTATAAATATGAATCAAGGAGAGTAATGTTCAGTGTGCTCTGTGTTTTTGTATACAGTTTCTTATGTTATTGTGTTGTGTGCATCATAGATTTACATTTTGTTTTGATTGCATTATATAGGTTATGTTCTCAGAGTTCGATAAATATGAAATAATTAAACAAAATCTCATAATGTTGTATATATATATGTGAAAAAAAAACTTAAAATGCCTTCAGTAGAATCAAACCTCAGATGAATCTTCAATTTGTCTTTCAGGCCTGGGGTTGGATGAGCTGTGTGGCACTAAGGGGAGAGAAGATTGACCACCATCCTGAATGGTTCAATGTCTACAACAAAGTAGAGGTGACTTGGTCTACTCACGACTGTGGTGGACTGTCTGCCAAGGATATCGTGATGGCTAAGTTCTGTGACGACACCTCCAAGTAGTTCAGCAAGTGAGGGGTGAGAAGGAAGGAAGGAAGTCTGGGATTTTGGCAAGATTAGGAACCCCAGTTTATTTCACTTGATGATTGATTAAACAGCCTAATGCTAACCTAACCTAACCAAACCTTACCTGATCTAACCTTACCCCCCATTAAAACACCCTAATGCTAACTTAACCTACCTTAACCCTACATAATCCCCCCCCCCCCTCCCCATTTACCACTAGTACACTGTTTAATCATTAGCTGAAACAAATTGGGATTCCTAATATTCACAAGATCCATAGTTTGTCAAATGAATAAGTTGGATATGTTGACGACGAAGGGAATTCTAAAATGTTAGGAATCATTGTAAACAGAAGAGTAAATATTATTCATAAAATCGAAGGAATCGAGATAGAATTACAGTATATTACTACAACTGTATTTTTTTTTTGTATTTAGTTTTGTATAAGATGTAGATGTATATTTTGACAGTAGCTACAGTATCATATCTTTATGAGTGTACAATAATCTGAACATAACCAGTGTCAGAATGTGAAGTGGTATTGTTATTGAAGTTGATTTAGTAGACGTGTTTATTCTTTTGTACTTGTTGATGATTTTTTTTTTACGGTTAACCTTAAAATTACTGTTATACTTCTTAATAATTTTACAATGAATAATGGGCTTTGATATTATTTACAAGATGACAATTCACACTTTTTTTCCTCACTATATCAAGATAATTTAATCCATTTCCTAGATAGAACACTGTAACTATTCTCTACATATACTGCACTGTACCATTACCACACTCATCATAGAAATAAAAACACAAAAATATCGATGACCTGAATCACATGTTGGTAAATTGGATCTTGAAAAAACACAATAGCTTATTAACTATCCATAGTATTGTTGATATTTAATTGAACTATTTCAGGCCAGGTATATATCATGATCTAATTGGTGTAATCAATATCAGGATACATTATGTACGTTGGTATGGGGCTTCCAGATTCATTTAGCATGTTGAATGTATCTTGTGTGATGTAATGGTAATGTACGGTGCTGTGAATATCTGGTTATTTGTTTCTGGCTAAAATAAACAAAAGTTACCACCATCTTATTGGGTTTTGTATTAGTTTTCCTTTGAGAATAGGTAGGTTAGTATTAGTCAGTAATATGATCAAACAAGTGTGTTAATTATTTAGTATTGTATGTACAGTATATAGTAAATGTGGGGACATAGTTCAAGTTTTTACTATATTCTAAGCAGATGTGCACTTCAGCATGTATGTATACAGACAATGCACTTTACAGTATACTGCACAGTTCAGTATATATACAGTATAAGCAGTGCAGATATACTGTACAGTTCAGATGCATATAGACAATGCAGATATACTGAACTACCATCCAGTATATACTGTATATACTCAAAGCAGGTACAGTATACAGTTCAGCTTGTACTGTAAATAGACAATGCAGATATACAGTACAATAAATAGACTGTACAGGTAACATACAACCAATGTAGTCACAATCCAGAGCTTCTTAACCCCTAGGTGGATGATGGTATATCTTAGAGGGCTTAACTTGCTGCACCTCACAGGGACTGCCTCATCCACCCCAGAGTGTTACTGTAATGCATTCAAGAGAGGTGCTCCCTTTCTTGTGGCAACTGTCAAAAGTCTGACGTTGTTTTTAACCCAAATCTTGTGATTATGTGATTGCTGCTGGGTGGAAATATACAGACAAGATAAACAATTGCTGAGACGACTACCTTATAGCATGCAAAGGTTCCATCTATGGTATGTATACATCTTTACACTTCATTGTTTAGTGGGGTGCAGATACGTTATGGAGCCAGTACTTGCCAACAGTGCATAACAGCCAGTACTTGCCAACAGTCCATAACAGCCAGTACTTGCCAGTCCATACAGTCTTGCCAACAGTATAACAGCCAGTACTTGCCAACAGTCCATAACAGCCAGTACTTGCCAACAGTGCATAACAGCCAGTACTTGCCAACAGTCCATACATGTTTAGTACTTGCCAACAGTCCATAACAGAGCCAGTACTTGCCAACAGTCCATAACAGAGCCAGTACTTGCCAACAGTCCATACATGTTTAGTACTTGCCAACAGTGCATAACAGAGCCAGTACTTACTAATAGTCCATACATGTTTAGTACTTGCCAACAGTCCATAACAGAGCCAGTACTTGCCAACAGTCCATACATGTTTAGTACTTGCCAACAGTCCATAACAGAGCCAGTACTTGCCAACAGTCCATACATGTTTAGTACTTGCCAACAGTGCATAACAGAGCCAGTACTTGCTAACAGTCCATACATGTTTAGTACTTGCCTGCAGCCAATACATATCTAGTACTTGCCAGCCGTGCATAACAGAACCAGTACTTGCCAACAGAGACGTGAGCGAGCACCCAAGCAGCTAACAAGCCAATTAATGGTAAAGAGGAAAAAGTAAGGTACAGTAAAGTGAATCTCAAAGTAGGGAGTGAAATATGAGGGAAAAGTGGTGCAGGAAAAGAGTGTGAACAAAAGGGAAATGGGGCAGAATAAAGATACACTTAACATATACTAATAACCTCGTCTAACATAAAAGGTGAATTATTAACTTTCTAATGAGTCAATGTCATAATGAATTGCTCTTTAGATTCAAGTTTTTATTTGGTACATGAGGAATCATACAAATTTACTTCACAATCAAGGATTTTTTTTATGTCTAAGGGGGGAGGTCTGGTATCTTGTTGCAATACTATTTAATAATTCTTGCCTATTTATTCTCATATTTTAGTAAAGATATGGGATGGGGAGGTAAACCATCAACTATACAGTACAGTAATACACAGACGAGAAAACCAATTCTTCATAAATATTTTTTGGCAATATAAAAGTTATGTAAATATCCTTAGAATATTAAGTATTGAAAATCTCTAGGTTCTCTTTATAAACTAGTCTGCTGGATAATTGTTAATCTATACCTTTGATATAGAGTTAGGACAGTTATTACATTTATAAACGAACTTAAAGGAAATAATAGGTGCGGTGCCTGAGTGGGTACAAGACTCCACCTATTTTAACGCTCTGGTTCACGCATACTCAGGGAACCACCAAATTCACCCACTTGTAAATAAGTTCCTAAATTTATATAGAGGAGGAAAATTGTTGAATGAAATGTCGGCCATGCTGCCTCCTTGTGTACTGAAAGGCTTATGATATATCTTAATTGAGGTCATGAATTTATCGATTTTATAGGTTTCTTGATATTTAATTACACCCTACAGCCAAGAGAAGAATCCTCGGTGGTAATAAATTTTAAACGTATTTTTCTATCTGTTCTCGGTTGACTTGACTTAATATTTATAATTATATATATACCTGTACTATCTATCTAAATACAGAGAGCATAGGAACATTTATGATGGTTTTTTAGAGTCAATATAGATGAAAATATAGAAGTATTTTAAAGTGGCCGCCACATTGTCTTGTGGCTTATGGGTAGCATTCCCTGCCAGGTTCCAATAATTTTCACTATGGGAAGAAAATTATGAGGGATAATTTTCTACAAACAAATGAATCCAAAACCTAACTAAAAACCATAAAAAATATTTAACATGTTTATAGTACGGGGTTAATAATAGATATGATTATAAATGAGAATAAATGTTAAATAGTTGAAAATGTAAACAAGTTTTTAAAAGACTTTAGTGTTACTTCTTGAACTGTGAGGAGGAGAGGCAAATAATGGCGAGAGGAAGAAGATAAATAAGATTTTTCATTCATTTTATACCTCAAAAGTCCACCATCCATCGTAAGTGTATACCAAATCGACTCTTTAATTATATATTGAGGGAATGAAGATAGAGAGATGAGTGTAAGTGTGAGTAATAGTGAGTTATGAGTCAAACATGAGTGTGATGGCCAAGAGTAAGACCTAAAAATGTTAACAAGTCTTAGGTTTTAATAGTTTGGGGGGTTAATTTCTCTACTACACCCACTTATTATATCTTCCTGGCTGGGTATGTTAAGGTTCCTATTATATTTTACCTTATGTGGTGTGGATAGATAAATATATAATAGCTAGGGATGATAAATGATATAAATAAGAGTAATGTCTCCAGGTCTCGTAAGGTAAAAGGATCATATCTTCAGAGTCATTTAATATCCTTATGTGATGAACCTTTATATGTATTAATAAACCTTAAAACCAGGAATTTGGAGGACCAGGTATCTAGTAGGACATGAAGGTGATACTTGACACATAACAGGAAAGGTTATCCCCGTTACCTCCAGTAATGTATTATATTAGTTAATCTTTCACTTGAATTAGACATTTCTGAGGACATCAATCTATCTCTGGACAAGTGATATTTACAGACACGATAAAGTGTTATGATGGTCTTAGAAATTAACTTAACCTAACCTAACAATCCATTTAAATAATGTAACTTAACCCATTTAACCTAACCTAACAATCCATTTAAATAATGTAACCTAACCTAAGCCATTTAACCTAACCTAACAATCCATTTAAATAATGTAACCTAACCTAAGCCATTTAACCTAACCTAACAATCCATTTAAATAATGTAACCTAACCTAAGCCATTTAACCTAACCTAACAATCCATTTAAATAATGTAACCTAACCTAAGCCATTTAACCTAATCTAACCCAACTTAACCCACTTAACACCTATTTAACCTAACCTAACTAACTATTTAATTAAGAGTTAACGTGTGAAAAATATAAGACTTGAGGAGGTCAATTTTCCCTCTGGACCTGAGTTAATCTAACCTAACCTAACATGACCTAACCTAACCTAACGTGACCTAACCTAACCCAACATGACCTAACCTAACGTGACCTACGTAGCTTCACCAAACCTTATGATCTTAGTGTTTGTTTAAGGCAAGTTAGTTTATATTATTATTATTATTATTATTTTTTTTTTTTTTTTTTTTTTTTTTTTTTTAATTAACAAACTTCAAGGTAAACTAGTGGTAATATTTGAGGGCAATGGGCCGAGTTAACCAGCTACCAGCAAGTAATGAAAAATATCTATAGGTAAAAACTTATTTTTTATTCAGGTTTTGTCCTTAGTTTTTCTAATAAATAAAAGTGTGTGTTAATATAGCATGCAGTCTACAAGATATTTAGGTAAGGTTAAATTAGGTCAGGTCAGGTTAGGCCAGGCCAGGTCAGGTCAGGTTAGACTAAAGATATCTTTGAAGACCGCACGCAATATGTCACTGCTGCCGCTGCCTGTACTAGATGGCCATTATTGTTGTTTTTGTGACCACCAGAAGGCATTATCATTGAAACGTTTCATAGACAATAACGATTATTTAGTATCATAAAAAAGAACACCCAGCAACTTGAGTAAAATTTTTGTATAGATACTGATGGTAAATTATTCTTTCTTACATTAAAAATAATAATAATAATAATGTGATATATAAAAAAATAATGATACTGTAGTAAGATTTGCAAATTTTCCTCGTAGTTTGTAAAATAGCTTGTCTGTATTGATAACTGTACTCCCTACTGTACTGTAAGATAGCTTGTCTGTATTGATAACTGTACTCCCTACTGTACTGTAAGATAGCTTGTCTGTATTGATAACTGTACTCCCTACTGTACTGTAAAATAGCTTGTCTGTATTGATAACTGTACTCCCTACTGTACTGTAAAATAGCTTGTTTATTGATAACTTACTCCCTACTGTACTGTAAAATAGCTTGTCTGTATTGATAACTCTACTCCCTACTGTACTGTAAAATAGCTTGTCTGTATTGATAACTGTACTCCCTGCTGTACTGTAAAATAGCTTGTTTGTATTGATAACTGTACTCCCTACTGTACTGTAAAATAGCTTGTTTGTATTGATAACTGTACTCCCTACTGTACTGTAAAATAGCTTGTTTGTATTGATAACTCTACTCCCTACTGTACTGTAAAATAGCTTGTCTGTATTGATAACTCTACTCCCTGCTGTACTGTAAAATAGCTTGTTTGTATTGATAACTGTACTCCCTACTGTACTGTAAAATAGCTTGTTTGTATTGATAACTGTACTCCCTACTGTACTGTAAAATAGCTTGTTTGTATTGATAACTGTACTCCCTACTGTACTGTAAAATAGCTTGTTTGTATTGATAACTCTACTCCCTACTGTACTGTAAAATAGCTTGTTTGTATTGATAACTGTACTCCCTACTGTACTGTAAAATAGCTTGTCTGTATTGATAACTCTACTCCCTGCTGTACTGTAAAATAGCTTGTTTGTATTGATAACTGTACTCCCTACTGTACTGTAAAATAGCTTGTCTGTATTGATAACTGTACTCCCTACTGTACTGTAAAATAGCTTGTCTGTATTGATAACTGTACTCCCTACTGTACTGTAAAATAGCTTGTCTGTATTGATAACTGTACTCCCTACTGTACTGTAAAATAGCTTGTCTGTATTGATAACTGTACTCCCTACTGTACTGTAAGATAGCTTGTCTGTATTGATAACTGTACTCCCTACTGTACTGTAAAATAGCTTGTCTGTATTGATAACTCTACTCCCTACTGTACTGTAAAATAGCTTGTCTGTATTGATAACTGTACTCCCTGCTGTACTGTAAAATAGCTTGTTTGTATTGATAACTCTACTCCCTACTGTACTGTACTGTATTGGTAACTGTACTCCCTACTGTACTGTAAAATAGCTTGTCTGTATTGATAACTGTACTCCCTGCTGTACTGTAAATAGCTTGTTGTATTGATAACTGTACTCCCTACTGTACTGTAAAATAGCTTGTTTGTATTGATAACTGTACTCCCTACTGTACTGTAAAATAGCTTGTCTGTATTGATAACTGTACTCCCTGCTGTACTGTAAAATAGCTTGTTTGTATTGATAACTGTACTCCCTACTGTACTGTAAAATAGCTTGTTTGTATTGATAACTGTACTCCCTACTGTACTGTAAAATAGCTTGTCTGTATTGATAACTGTACTCCCTACTGTACTGTAAAATAGCTTGTCTGTATTGATAACTCTACTCCCTACTGTACTGTAAAATAGCTTGTTTGTATTGATAACTCTACTCCCTACTGTGCTGTAAAATAGCTTGTTTGTATTGGTAACTGTACTCCCTGCTGTACTGTAAAATAGCTTGTCTGTATTGATAACTGTACTCCCTACTGTACTGTAAGATAGCTTGTCTGTATTGATAACTGTACTCCCTGCTGTACTGTAAAATAGCTTGTCTGTATTGATAACTGTACTCCCTGCTGTACTGTAAAATAGCTTGTCTGTATTGATAACTGTACTCCCTACTGTACTGTAAGATAGCTTGTCTGTATTGATAACTGTACTCCCTACTGTACTGTAAAATAGCTTGTCTGTATTGATAACTCTACTCCCTACTGTACTGTAAAATAGCTTGTCTGTATTGATAACTGTACTCCCTGCTGTACTGTAAAATAGCTTGTTTGTATTGATAACTCTACTCCCTACTGTACTGTAAGATAGCTTGTTTGTATTGGTAACTGTACTCCCTACTGTACTGTAAAATAGCTTGTCTGTATTGATAACTGTACTCCCTGCTGTACTGTAAGATAGCTTGTCTGTATTGATAACTGTACTCCCTACTGTACTGTAAAATAGCTTGTTTGTATTGATAACTGTACTCCCTACTGTACTGTAAAATAGCTTGTCTGTATTGATAACTGTACTCCCTGCTGTACTGTAAAATAGCTTGTCTGTATTGATAACTGTACTCCCTACTGTACTGTAAAATAGCTTGTCTGTATTGATAACTGTACTCCCTACTGTACTGTAAAATAGCTTGTCTGTATTGATAACTGTACTCCCTACTGTACTGTAAATAAACTTGTCTGTGTGTGCTGTACTCCCCTACTGTGCACAAAATAAGCTTGTCTGTATTGATAACTGTACTCCTGTACTGTAAAATGGCTTGGCCTGTATTGATGGCTGTACTCCCTACTGTACTGTAAAATAAGCTTGTCTGTATTGATAACTCTACTCCCTACTGTACTGTAAATAAGCTTGTCTGTAATTGATAACTGTACTCCCTGTATGCTATACAAATAAACTGTCTGTATTAGTAGCTATACTCCCTACTGTACTGTAAAATAAACATCTGTATTGATAACTGTACTCCCTGTACTATAAATAAACATCTGTATTGATAACTCTACTCCCTACTGTACTGTAAAATAGCTTGTTTGTATTGATAACTGTACTCCCTACTGTACTGTAAAATAGCTTGTTTGTATTGATAACTCTACTCCCTACTGTACTGTAAAATAGCTTGTCTGTATTGATAACTCTACTCCCTACTGTACTGTAAAATAGCTTGTTTGTATTGATAACTCTACTCCCTACTGTGCTGTAAAATAGCTTGTTTGTATTGGTAACTGTACTCCCTGCTGTACTGTAAAATAGCTTGTCTGTATTGATAACTGTACTCCCTACTGTACTGTAAGATAGCTTGTCTGTATTGATAACTGTACTCCCTGCTGTACTGTAAAATAGCTTGTCTGTATTGATAACTGTACTCCCTGCTGTACTGTAAAATAGCTTGTCTGTATTGATAACTGTACTCCCTACTGTACTGTAAGATAGCTTGTCTGTATTGATAACTGTACTCCCTACTGTACTGTAAAATAGCTTGTCTGTATTGATAACTCTACTCCCTACTGTACTGTAAAATAGCTTGTCTGTATTGATAACTGTACTCCCTGCTGTACTGTAAAATAGCTTGTTTGTATTGATAACTCTACTCCCTACTGTACTGTAAGATAGCTTGTTTGTATTGGTAACTGTACTCCCTACTGTACTGTAAAATAGCTTGTCTGTATTGATAACTGTACTCCCTGCTGTACTGTAAGATAGCTTGTCTGTATTGATAACTGTACTCCCTACTGTACTGTAAAATAGCTTGTTTGTATTGATAACTGTACTCCCTACTGTACTGTAAAATAGCTTGTCTGTATTGATAACTGTACTCCCTGCTGTACTGTAAAATAGCTTGTCTGTATTGATAACTGTACTCCCTACTGTACTGTAAAATAGCTTGTCTGTATTGATAACTGTACTCCCTACTGTACTGTAAAATAGCTTGTCTGTATTGATAACTGTACTCCCTACTGTACTGTAAAATAGCTTGTTTGTATTGATAACTCTACTCCCTACTGTACTGTAAAATAGCTTGTCTGTATTGATAACTGTACTCCCTACTGTACTGTAAAATAGCTTGTCTGTATTGATAACTCTACTCCCTACTGTACTGTAAAATAGCTTGTTTGTATTGATAACTCTACTCCCTACTGTACTGTAAAATAGCTTGTCTGTATTGATAACTCTACTCCCTACTGTACTGTAAAATAGCTTGTCTGTATTGATAACTGTACTCCCTACTGTACTGTAAAATAGCTTGTCTGTATTGATAACTCTACTCCCTGCTGTACTGTAAAAAGAAAAACAACCAATCATGGCCCTAAGTCTACTTCTGGCTGGAATGACCTAAATTTGTCAGTGTTGAGTGGTCTGTCCTTTGTAATAGTAAGGAATTTCATTGAGTGTAGAGGAGGAATCAAACCTTAACTATTCATCCCAGGAGTCTTTTGAAGGGTGAAGGTTCAGTTTAGGTTAATGGATCTGAGTGGTTCTTATTTTCTTATGGTAGAATCTTTACCAGTGGGGTTTATTTAATAGCAGATGGGGGTAACAAGAGGCAGAGGAGCTATGGTGGAGCCCAGGTGGTAGCTAAAAGACCTGTACACTATCCAGAATTCCCTCTAGACTGTATGATGGTCCCTCATTCTGTCTTTAATTACAGAGTTAAGATTTGGGTCCTCTTTGAAGGTTAGGTACACTACCCCCCCCCTCCCCCCCCACTTATTTTACCTGATTATAAATTAAATGCCCTGATGCTAAGCTAACCTAAACCCCTTCAGTTTAGCATTAAGGTATTTAATTATCAGTGGAAACAAGCAGGAGTTCCTAATTGTCATGAGATCCATACCTTCTGCTGTAGAGATAGAGACTGTGTGTGTGTGTGTGTGTGTGCGTGCGTGCATGTGTGTGTGTGTGTGTGCACGTGCATAACCTTTAAATCTCACTCTGTATCTACTATACTAATACTTACATTACTCATATTACAGGACTAGGCTGATGGGTGAGCCAGCAGTTAGCCCGGGCCGATCATCAGAGCTGTGGGACCAACAAGCTAAGGGTATCGGTCAAACAACAAATAGCCCGCCTGCTGCTGCTGTTGGTCATCTCTCCCCCAGCGTGGTGCACCCCCCAAGTTCCTTTGCGTCTGTCACACACCTCTGTCATTCCCGTGAGCACTTTCTCCTCTGGTCTATTGTCGAGGCTTGGAATATGGTATTGTATTTATTTATATAGAAATTAAGAGTTTCAACGGTTTTACACCTTTCTCATTGTACTGTTGCTGGGTACTCACTGGACCTGTACAGTATAGTATATACATGTCCGTGGTTCTCGGTGCGGACAGATTGGGCAACATACACAAGTCTTAAGAAAATGTTTCCTTTGGATAATAAATCAAAAGATGAAGGAACGTGGAGAGGAAAATTTACTACGAAAGTGTCAGTGATGTGTTTTTTACTTTCTTATTCTTTCCCTTGTTTTGGGCCTTTAAGTTGCTCCTCAAGGTATCTTAAGTTGTCATACGATGACATAAAAAGAAATACTGTAAATAATTTGGGGGGATGTTATGTAATTTACTTTACAGTACCTGTACTTGTAATTTTAAGAATGCAAATAATATACTAAAGAGTTATTAGCTTCATGGCTGTTAATTAATATTTGTCAGCAGAGGTGGGCGAGGTTGGGTGCAGCAGTGAGAGTGGGTCAGAAGCTGTAAAGTTAGAGCGTGGAGGCACAAGTGCAACACAAGGGGTTTACTACCCCATCCTCTCTCCACAACATCCCCAGGCTATGGACGACATTTCTCCTCCCTCTGGGAGTGGTGCCTTCTACAGCGGGACACAGCCGTACCGCCCTCCCGATGGGTATTATGACCTGCTGGGTGGCTTGAGTGCGGCCAGCCCCGCACAGTATGCTCCTCCGGGGACTGGGTCGGCTCTACCTGCTGGCCCACCCACACCATCCAAAGTTGAGCCCCCTTCTTATGTTGAGACCCCCCACACTCCTCTCACATATGGGGAGACTGCTGCTCCAATGGACTTCAGTAGCAATCCTCCAGGTTTAAGTTTCAGTAGCGCACCATCTGCTGCTTACGGTAGTGCGTCAGACTTCTCTGATGCACAGGGTTACTCCCAAACAGCAACAAACCCACTCAGCCTCTTGAGTGATGTAGCTTTAGGTGGTGATGCAAGTAGTAGTAGTAGCACACACAGTGCCAGTAGTGGAACAGGCAGTAGTAGTAGCAGCAGTAGTAGTAGCTCAGGGTCGTCATCTTCCGGCGGAAGTAGCAGCTGTGACAGAGGCAACGGTGAAGTACGGAGGAAACGCGTACTTAGTGCAGGAGCCGAAGGTAGTCGAGGAAAGACTCAGAGAGGAAGAGTAGAGCCACGCAGGAGTGGATGGAGCAGCTCTCATCTGCAGCAGGATGATGACAGTGAAGATGAAGAAGGAGAGATGTCTCCTGGTGCTCGAGGAGTGAGACACAAGGTTGACGATGGACCCACTGCACCTGACCTGCAGCTGGACTGGGTAACATCTTCAGACTCCGACTCGGACACAGACTCGTGTATAGAGGTTGTAAGCGTACAGCGAGGAGCAAGAGGCAACCGGGCTGTGGATGTTGTGGATTTAACTAATGAAAGTGACGATGAGGTGTTAGTAGCGAGTGCTACACCTCTGGTGCCATCTACTGGGGTAACACTTCCAGCTCCTGCATCCTCATGTGCTGTAGCTTCTTCCAGTGGGTATGGAATATCTCCTGTATTGGGTAGATTACCCACTGCCACCCATACTGCTACTAGTGTAGGACTATGCCGTGGACACCACACCTCAGAACCCAACCAGGCAACCACCTGCTCCTGTCCCCGTGGCCCAACGTTAGGTTCCATTGGCCTGAGTGCCAGCGGTGCGGCAAGTTTCACGATGGACCATCACGGGAACTGTTACGGGGCCTGTGTGCATCCCCACCACTCACCTCATCACCATCATCACCATCACCACCACAGTCTGGCACCTAGTCAGGGCCATCACCACCATCATCACCACTATTACTCACCAGACTCGCCACTCTACTATTCTGCCCTCCCCGCCCATCCGCTGTTCCCGTCGTACCCTCCCACCTCCCTAACATCAACTGCCACTTACCCGACTCATCCATCATTGTCGAGATTAAATCCCATTCACCAGAGGATATGGCACAGTCAACAGCGGTATCAAGAACTACAGAGACGTTGCTTAGACCCCCGCCTACGTGAACCTCTCACTCAGTCCATGGCCAGAGCTGGAGCTTTAACTCAAGAATTAGGACAGCACACCCTTGGTGGGGCTACAGCCACCAGCCTAGCCTCTCTCACGCCCCTTCAGCCCGTAACTTCCCAGACCTCGACTACCTCCACCAACAGTGACCAACAGGTTCCACCACAGACCAACTCCCCCTCAGCTCCCACTCCCATGGACATCCAGTCAACTCCAAATGCTGCCCACAATGCGACACACATCACGGCGCCTCACCTCCACCATCACCCAGGAATGGATGTTCTCATGCATAATGCACACACTCACAGGTCAGTTTTCATTGTTCATTACTAAGGACTAAGAATTTGTTCAAAATGTTATATACTGTAATGGTAATTATGTTTTATAAGATTCATAAGCATAAAACTGATAGAATTGACAGTAGGAAATATATCAATAGGAAAAGTCTTTCAAAATATCAGCTCATATAGAATTGGACTAAGGAAAGAGCCTGTCCAATTTGTTGGCCTGTGACTCACCCCACTGAAAGTAGGTTTCAATCATGACTTAAACTGCACTGAGTAGGTCATAGAAGAAGGATGGTCAGTGACCTATTTGTGAAACCAATAAATATGTCAGCATCATAACTTGAGAATGTAAAACTCCAATGTGTTAATAATTATATACATTATTTACCAACAAAACTGACAGCTTGTGGTTAAAAAGTCAAAGGTCAAGGTCACAGTTTTGATAAATACAGCAGCAGCTTAATGTGACACTGCCATCAAGGTTAATGTACAGTACAGTTGTTGGTGGGTAAGTCTTACATAGATGTTCCTACCCTGTTAGACAGACATCTGTGAGAACCTTTGTTGGCAGTACCATCTTGTACCTCAGTGTACTCTACTCTACTGTACCAAGAATCATCTATGTCCTGAACTAGTACTCTGGAAATTCTTGCCACAAAGTGTTTCTTGTACTAAATTGCTTTCAAATTACTTTTGGTATTTGTAGTTATTAATGATAAATATTTATATCTAATGTGTCATGATTCAGTGTTGCTACAATACGCCTCCCTGGGGCCACCACCTTGTAGTTTCTGTGGAGATCTTTGGGTATGATTTACGGCTGCAGCTTCTACTTGTATGTTCACTTGGGTTCAGTGTAAGGTTTAGTGATAAAAATTCATCCAGTGTATATAGTTGAAGATTTTATAAAGAGAAGAAGCTGCAGGTGTCATTCTAACATTAGTTTAAATTGATCTTTCAACAGTGAGGGCGGTGGGCTATATGGTCATATGTATGGTGGAACTGTACCTCCAGCTCACATGTCCATGCCTGCTGCAGCGGCAGCAGCAGCTGCGGCGGCTGCTGCCGCTGCTGCAGCAGCCAGTGGAGACCCAAGACACTTGACAATGCCAGGACCTGGTTTGCACATAAACATTGGGGGTGGGTCTCAGCTGCCCCTGGACCTGTCCCTACCTCCCACACTAACCCCAGAGCTGCCTCCTCCACCTAGACTCACCTACATACCTCAGGTACTGTACTGATATAATTGATCATTTTATGTTTATTGTACTGTACTACCCTTAAGTTATGGTAAGACTTACCAACAATGTGTTTTAAATATGGTAAAAGTATTCGTTTGTGTTTTTCTTTCTTTAATCTTTTGATGAGTCATGTTTTATAGACACTTTCATTGCCTTAACATGACCCAAACTCCCTAATTCGTCTTTTTAGCTCCCAATATTCCAACGAGGGTCAGCAATCCCCCGGCTGGAAGATTACATGCGTGTAGTTGATCAACGACGACTTCCTGTGGTTACTCGAGGTGCAACGCAGAACACGATAGAGCGCAACACTTTCCCTCACAAGTACAAGACGGTAAGACTTTCACTACTTAGAGGTTTACCCTTTGGTTATCATTATTATTATAATTTGTAATAATTTTGTTTTGAATGTTACTGTTATTTACTTCATGTGAGTGATATAGGATGTGAAGTGTTTGCTGATGATGTACTGTACTGCTGTTCTGTGCCTCTACTCTGGTAAGAAGTGAAAGACCCTCACCCCAATGTTGCTTTAGTCCTGTAACTTCTAGAACTGACTCACATTTGGATTCCTTATTGTTCTCCATATATCCACGTCTCATCTCTGAATGACCTCTATAAATCACTGGCCATTAAGGGAGGATTTAGTTTATTATGTTGATGTTAAAGTTGATTGTTTTAAGACTAAAATTTTAAATAAAATCTTTAGTATTTTTAATGGCTGTATGAGATCTGGTGGGAAGGAAATTGGCATTGAATTTCCCTAGGAGTTTTATCTTCATGTTCTTGTTACATGTATTTCTGTGTTGGTTTTTATTGTTATTGATCATTTTAACCTGAAGGGTGGTGGGTTCATTGTTGTACAGTACAGTGCACTGGGCTAATTGCTCAGCTCTGTCATTAATCACAGTTTTGTTGGTCAATGCTTAGTTTTCAGGTAATACAATAATAATACAGTAGTACAGTATACACTAATTTTTGTTCCATGTCAATTTTAATAATATTATTTTATTAATTTATGGTGTTTTACTGTGTGCCCAATGCAGATGAAGCGTGCAGATGTAACTGAAGATGGCCTGGAGAAGTGCACCATCTGCCTGTCAGAGTTTGAGGAAGAGGAAGATGTACGAAGGTTGCCGTGTATGCATCTTTTCCACATAGAGTGTGTTGATCAGTGGTTATCGACCAACAAACGCTGTCCTATCTGTAGGGTGGATATTGAAGCTCACCTGACAAAGGACTACACTGCCACATCTTCATGAAATCAATACTCTAGTAAGAGTGGAATATCTTGAAGCCACCCCATTCATCCCATTGTGCTTGTGAGGTGACAGAGGAAGGACCATGGCCCACTCGAGTCCTTCCCTGGACCTGGTAGAGCAAGTTAAGTTCCTACTTAATAAGAGACTCACAGAAGTCCTGAAAAAACTCCACAGCACAGAATAATTGGTTGATCAGGGGGAGAATTCCCACTTACTAGAGATCCGGAAGAAACTATTTTACGAAATGGCTTAATGCAACTAGGATGATGTTACATCCTTCTAAGGGCTATACAGTAGTAGTTGAACAAGTGTGAAGCATCACTATGGTGCCTCACATGGGCGTAATCCTCAGTGCACTGGGCAGTACAAGCTTCTGCTGGACTTTAGGATAGTGACCAGCTTCAGGGACATTGCTTGTATCTACAGCACTGTGGAGGATCCTACCTATTGTGCCAGTGCAAGGAGTTGTGGTTCACATTGTAATACAGGATCTATGCTAATCCTCCTACTTTATATATATATATATTATATATATATACAGTAATGTATGTATGTATGAATACTAGAGGCAGAGGCAGTGTAACCCACACTGTGTAAGGTAAACCATCAACATATCTTCCATATCTTCTTAAGATCTTGGACTATTTGTTGCATTGTCAGCTAAATGCTACATGTATAAAAGTTGTTAAAAGTTGGCCAAAGTAGTCAGTAGAATTGCCCTTGTGTTTGGAGGAGGATGATGCAAAAACTGTGTTAATGTATTTGCTAGTAGTGCAATAACAGGAAAATTTAATTGTGTACCGGCGCACGATATAGCGCGTGCCTGTGTTACGCAGTGGTAGACATCGTATAATATACTGGACTCACAAGGATGTGCAGTTTATTATTATAATGGGGGGCACACTTGTGGAAAGTGCAAAAAAAGTGTATGTACTCTAGCCAAAACTTATCTGAAACGGGTGTATTCTTATCACGAACAGTGTGGCTAAACGTGAATGGGGGTAAGACAGAACTCTGGCAGTAGTCTGTATAGATGTTGGAGCCAAGAAAAGAGAACTGGATGGATAGGGCATTTGACGCTCTGCATTGAAGAAGGAACAGCCTCCATTTTCCATTAACCAGATCTGAATTATTAAAAGCTGTAGATAATGCATCGTACAGTACGTATCGAAGTGATGTACAGTAGTTATCACGATGATTGTTTAGTTCTAGGCTGCCAGGTTGTTTGTATAAATAAGGTACAGTATCAGTTGACATTGAGGAGGACAAGACATAATTATGTACGACTTCAAATTCACCCAAGGCAGAGAAAGACGTCAAAATTGAGGTTATTTTTTCTTCAGTTTCTTACCTGTTTCCTAGGGATTGGGATAAAGGTCCTCTATTCCCCACACACTCAGGTATGGTGCAGAAATAGTCAAGTTTGCCGTAGTTATGCCGCCAGTGTGAATGTTTGCCGCTGCAGGGACTTGGTGCACATCTAAGACTGACAGCTGAGTTCTTGTGTATTTATGGTGAGTTGATTGAATGTGATACTCTTAACATGTAATAGTTTGCACGTGTAAACACTTTATTTCATTATCTTGTGTGATTGTAATTTTTTTCCTCTCCTCATCCTTAACTGTGGTGAAGGTTAAAGAACTTCTCATAACTATACACATTACATAATAACCTTCCTTTCATCTGTACTTGTGATATTGAGAATTCATCTTGTCTTCTTAAGTGGCTAATAGTATATCTTTGTTGAAGTTTATTTTAAATTTCACATATTTTTTCCCAAGGATTCTTAAATAATAGTTTTATCATGAAACACATCAATGAGAAACTTTCCTTTTTGTGTGGCTGGTGAACTGTCAAGATTTGAGTTGTTCATATTTTGTGGTTCATCCAGTGTTGTACCTGTTACACTTTAGTACCTTTGGTTTCTTACACTGCAGTGCTCTTCTTTGTTGGAATCAAGGCTGGAGTCATTTGAACATGATTAGTGACAGGCTACCAGGTCATACTTAACAAAGGGAGCCAAGACTCACAGACAATGATGTGTGACCCTGAAAACAGCAAGGCCTTAATGCATCCTCTTGATAATTATAGTAAGATCAGTAAGTACAATTTAACGCTAGTCCGGTTTGGTCTTGAAAGAAATACTACTATCAGGTTTGTGTATTAGGTCTTGAATAATGTCTAGCTGATGGAAATGATATATATATAGCAAGTATTTGTCTTGATAACTCCCTCCTCTTGGTTATAGGAGTGGGGGTACAGAAAACTTATGTCAGTGTGTGTGTGTGTGTGTCGACCTATATCCCGTGAATTTTCTCATAACTGATAACTAGAAGTACAGTATGCATTTTGTTTTTAAATGCGAGAGATATTGCCTCTTCACATTTATTAAGTCTCGGAGTTACTCGAGGCAGAATAATGTTCAACTTCACGTCTGGGGATTTGTTTTAAACCAGAGAATGTCTCAACATGACCATCAATCAGTGATATAATATGTGAGGTCATTAATGTTGTGATCATGCTAGAAAAGTCATACAAAGTCACTGACTGTTTACATGTAATCCCATCCAAGGTCTGAGGACTTTTATAACACTAATAAGATTTTCGTCTACAGACTAAGATGACCACAGTAGATGTAAACCTCGTCGCGTTCAGAAATAGCGTAGTTTGACGTTGAAACAAAAGTGGTAAATATTGTACAGTTTTAGGTACGGTCTTCATTGATATGTGTACGCATGGCTTCAGCCTAATTCCTAAACAAAGATAATCGACACTAGCGGTTGTGTTCCCGTCTTTATCCAGCGTGTTATTTTTCCCAGAGTAGTATTGCAGTTTAATATATTTTCTTTCCACTTAAGATAAGTTTTTTTTTTTTTTTTTTTTTTTTTTTTTTGAGAATTGTCTCTTAAAAGTTTCGGAGGTTGTTTGTTATTGTTAGGTGTGCAGGACGGTACTGTATCAGTGAGAGAATGACACACGTTGTTCACATTGCCAGTGGGTTCCCTCCTCCCCCCTCCCCCCCTCCCCTCATGGCTCACTCACAGTCATGCTTTAGGGAACTTTTGTATATTAGATTTTGTGTGTATTATTTATGCATCTATATGGCATATAAACTTTATACACTTACCTGTAGAGGGTCTTAAGGTATATTTTTTTTATATAATTGTTATTAGTTATATTTCCATTACCTCATATTTTAGCCTCTTGAGTTTGCAATATAAAGCTGTCTTTCTTTAACTATCTCAAATGAATCCCGGCACAATAGAGGCGCTCTCATTGACAGTGACGAATCAACCAATGGCGCCCAAATCAGATTCTTGTTTCGACAGGAAGCCCGACTCTTTCCCTACCTTGTATTGAGTAAAGAAAGAGTCGTGCTTCCTGTTGTAACAAGAATCTGATTTGGGCGCCATTGGTTGATCCGTCACTGTCAATGGGAGCTCCTCAATTGATATACACATACTACTTGAAATATTGTACTGCAAGATGAAGATTCCTCTTAAATTTGCTATACAGTGCAGGCATCCCTCGATGTGTGATCAGGTTGTGTTCCTGGAAACCTGATTTTAAGTTGGGTGATCATATATCTAGGGGTGCCTGTAGTTATACTCACAGGAAGATTATTCATTTAATTCGCTGTAGCATTTGGTCTCACTTTTTTTGTGAAAGAAAAGGCGTAAAAAATAGGTACTTATGGTTATTTTAAAAAGCAACTGAAGAATAAAAATTTGTGTGTGTGTGTGTGTGTGTGTGTGTGTGTGTGTGTGTGTGTGTGTAAAAGAAAACATAGTTATTCACTTGATTTCATGGAAGTAACTTCAGTTTCAGGAGGCAGATTAATGTGTAGTGTTTCACATATTACAACACAGGATTCCCGTTATGTAGAGAAAATTTCAAATTATGTAGCCATGTTTACAGTTTATTTTATCATTACATATTAGATTTTGCACTTCATCTTTTCCCCCGTGGCATTATGTAAGATTCAGACTCGGTTATGTAACTAATGTGGGACCTAATGTCGGTTAAATTTTATCATGTTGAAATTATTTTTATGAGTTGTTACAGTAAATTACATTAACTTACCATACTGTACTGACATGTCTCTCTAAATTATGGTACAGTACTGTATAACATTGTGTTTACTGTACTGTTTTGACATAGGTTCTTATTCTCACATCCCATTATGTACTGTTCACAAAATGCAGTGTAAAAGTGGCAGTCATTCAATTGCAGTATGGTATTACAAAGACTCTTTTGGGGGGGAAATTTTTTTAAAGTTTATCCTCTTGCATCTCCTTTTAGACGTCCTAACACCTATCTCTTGTGTGGCAAGATTGTAACAGCTTCGGTGAGGTAGGTGTCAATATATGTTGCACTGATAAAGCCTTGACACTGTTGCCACCAGGGCTTTGACAATTTGGGTTTGTTTACAGGGGCCATACAGTACTGTGTCGGCCATGGAGAACCATTAGGAATATGTAAGTTTTGTGTGGTATCGCTCATCTCCTTCATTCCTCATTTTCATTTCAAAACGTAGATGGAAAATTTATATTTTTGATAGCATATTATAAGGCCAGCTTTTTCATTGCACTCTGATCTTTTATCTAAAATATAGTATTTTGACAGATTCACAAAATATATAATAGATTATGTATGAATACAAATGGATACATTAATCATATTTTGAGCTCTTTTAAGTTAATGATACAGTATATTAAGCTGTATATATAATTGATGATATGTTCTTACGTGGGCAAGACCAGAGATATATCACATGTGGCCACTGAGCTCTGTTGAGTGACGGCCATGACTGAAGATGATTAAGGTAACTCACTGTAATATGTGCACCACCTGTTAGTTACCTTCTATTATGTCTTCAGTTAATGTACTGGTAAATTATTTTTAATTCCATTTTATGGTGATTGTTGTTTTGTAAAACTACTTGTTGGTTATAAAAGAAATTTCTTTTTGTATCATCTCAAGTATTACATGTTTTTGGATAACAAGACACTGGTATTTATATGAGTGTATTAACTAAGGTTCCTTCTGGCTAATGTGGTGACATTGTTACCCGGCCAAAAAAGTTCTGCTTCCTGGTGTCCAAAACCTTTCTCTTCTTATCTCTTTATCTTACTTTCCTTCTATTTTCACCCTTCCTCTCTCTCTCTCATCATTTTGAACTCTTCTTGTATCAAAATTTGGTTACCGTACCTTCTTGGTGTCCTGGATGCCATGGCACTGTGGACATTATTACTCACTCTTGTAACCCAGACTAAAGGACAGGAGCTTCCACTTAAAAACCTGTTGGATATTATCATTTGTTATGTCCAGTAATCATAGGCGGGGCATCACTGATACTTCACATTTCACCGGTGCTTGTGTTATCGTCATAATACAGGACGACCTCTTTGTAACCGAGAACCCTTGAATCTCTTTTCGTCATCTCTACCGATATAATTATTCCAAATAACGATAAACTGCGATTATTTGTACTCTTGCATGCCCCCTTGTCTGTCCCCCACCTCCACTGCTTTCTGTGTATGTAAAATGATTCGATATCTAATTTCTGCGTGTTTCATGGGTTCTCACTCGAAGTTCACCTTGTGCAGTCAGCAAATATAAGTACGCACAGTTATCTAGGCCTACTGGTCCGGTGGAATAAATAATGAGCAATAACTTAGGACGCGTTGATGTACAGTATCTGATAGTTTGGTACCTCTGGCTATAGAATATCCTTCCACATACTGTATATATATATTATTCTGTGATAAACGTTGATTAAGTAATAAACCATAAGCATTATATGACGGCAAGCATACACGTGCGATCGATTACTTTATCGATGAATGGATATCGATGAATTTGTACAACACAGTGGGAGGATTATTCTAAACCTCATGATAAAGTTAGTACCATTTTTTAAGTACTGGGATAAAATCATTAGAAAGTTAAACATTTGACTAACATTGATTGTGAATAAGTATGTTTATATATGTTTTTTAAACCTTTAGATATTATATCATGGATTTTATTTATCTGTTAATGACAATAGTGGTTATGAGAATATCAGTACACTGTATATTTTGTTTGAGGGGAATAAAAGCAATATTTGTTGTCTAGGTTTATGAAATAGCAAAACGTCTTAAATCTTCGCCCGATGTTTCAGATTGTTTGTTACACGTGACAGGGGTAGAGATACTTTATTTTGCTGACTGGACTACACACATCCCTCAAACAAGTTCATCAATACCGAGGTGTTTGCCTGTGTGTGTATTGTGTGAATTTAGGCACTTGTGAAATAGGGTATCAGTTTCCCTGCCTAGGTTAGAGTCATAAGAAATTGCACCACTATAAAGCATGTTTTAAATAAATATATTAGTGGTTGTAAATGTCTAACTATACAGTAGTCATATATTTACAAGTCATATTACAGGCTAACATAACACTTTTAAACTACCGTACCATTTTTTGCTTCCAACCCATACCCTTCAACATAGTGTCCTGTACTGCTGCGATTGACACTCACACACTTTGCATTTTTCAGACCCAGTTAGTGTCATTGTGGAGTAATTAATTGAATTTTGAGAGTGATTTAAGATGTTTGAACAGGCAGAATAATGCATAACATTACTTGATATGGGTGTCGAGTTCTTACCGAGCCTTGGGAGTATAGTACTAGTTGAATGTGTCTCAGAATCAAAACTGAAAGGGTTTGTGTTAATGTCTATCTTATCTTTTATCTGTCTCATCTACAATACTGTACTCCTTTATTATCACTTTTGTATTAGGTGGCTCAGGGTGTTGAGAAACATTAAAGAAAGAAAGAAAGAATAATAATTAGGGACAGTGATGCATGACAAGTGTGGGAAGTAACAGAGAAAAGAACCCCCCCCCAAGATAACTGGTAGAAATCTTCACTTTTATCCGAATCACAAGATTTCCATTTCTGATTGATGAAACAGTTCAGCAGTCACCAATTTTAGTGAAACTGAATGTGAAACTACTTGAAAAAAAAAACTTTGTGAAACTTACTGATATTTCATTAAGAATTTTAGAGCAGATGTTATGTAAGTGACTTTGGAAATATACCAAACAGAAGATATTTATATTATTGTTATGTAAGATTGAAATTGACTATACCTGGAGATGCACTTATTTATTATTGTTTTAACATTTGGTTACTCTTAATAAATACCATAAGACACTATACAGAGTAATTTATGCAACCTAGGATGGACCAGATCACTGATAGAATTTTTTTGTCGATTTTGATTAGTGGTCCAATAGGCTACTTCTCGACAGGGCTAATTCTCGGTGGCGTCCGGTACTTGAGGATTTGCTGGACGGGGAAATCTGATGTTAGAAGATATTAAAATTCACCTGTTATGAGTTTTATATAAATTATCTGTTTTTGTTTCCCTCTCTTTCTGTTCTGTCTCTGAGGTGAGGCTTTATAAAAAAGTCTACATGTCCTAGTTTTTTTTCTTCTCTTAGTCTATTTTGTTAGTCGAATAGTTGCTCTACCCTGTTGTTCACCATTGACTTATTACTGTACAGAAACTCTCTCAAATTTTTTAACCTCTGTTCAAAAACTAGTGACTATTTTGTTAGATAACTATGTCTGACACCGGTGATTGTCGCATTAGATGACCATTGAGGTGTGTTTTAATTTTTGTTTTTACACAGTATTTTCATATTTATATACAATACAAAAATCATATACAATACCAATTCCTGTTTCATTGCCCAGGATATCAGGGATAATTTAATTTTTTGTGTTTTTTCAAGATTTAATATTTTTTGCTTTTTCCTTTATATGCAGCACAACATAGACAGACTTTATGCTTTTATTATTTATATTATGAACCAGATGTGTCCAAGTCCATGTGATCCACTGACAATATATTCAGGTGGGAAGATATTTAGGCAGTGAATACACAACATACATACATATATATATATATATTTATGGTAACACTCCGTACTGTATATGGCATTTAGAAGTA